GTTGTTGTTGTTGTTGTTGTTGTTGTTGTTGTTGTTGTTGTTGTTGTAATTTTCCTTGATTTATTTCATTCTAACTTACTGTTTGGATGCTGCTTTTACGCTTTGTAAACTGGCCAGAGGCTGGTTGGCACTAACATTGAATAAATGGAATTAAGCTCAGCCTGCGTAAAAGCCCTTTTCTTACCACTAGAGGCCGCCCTACTCCACAATTGAAAGAGGTTTGGGTGGTTTCTTCCCCCAGAGATGCTTTTTCAAGAGGCAACTGGACTTCCTTGCTTTTTTTAAAACAGATAAACAGAATTGGAAGGGACCTTGTAGGTTATCTAGTCCAACCCCCTGACCAAGCAGGAGACCCTACCCCATTTCTGACAGATGGCAGTCCAGTCTCTTCTTGAAAGCTTCCAGTGATGAAGCTCCCACAACTTCCGAGGGCAACTTCTGTTCCATGGGTTGATTATTCTCACTGTCAGAAAACGTCTCCTTATTTCCAGGTTGAATCTCTCTTTGATCAATTTTCATCCATTATTCCTTGTCTGGCCTTTGGGTGTTTTGGAAAATAGCTTGACCCCCTCCTCCTCTCTGTGGCAGCCCCTCAAATATTGGAAGACTGCTCTCCTGTCTCCCCTGGTCCTTCTCTTCCCTAGACTAGCTATGTCCAGTTCTTGCCATTGTTCTTTATATGTTTTAGCTTCCAGTCCCCTAATCATCCTGGTTGTTCTTCTCTGCACTCTTTCCAGAGTCTCAACATCTTTTTTTATAGTGTGGTGTCTCTAGGTGTGGTCTACGGTACTCTAAGTGTGGTCTTCCTAAGCTTGAGCTGAAGAAGCTTCCTGGATGAGAAGTGAAACGTCTTCAAAGAAAAATAAAGAAAGTCCAGTTGCCTCTTAAAAAAGCCCCTTTGGGACAACCATGGCCTGGATGACTTAGAATCTCCATAGACCTCGTTTCTTCCCCTTTCAAGCTTACTGAAGAATAAAACCATCAACAACAGATGGCTTGTTGAAGAAGTGTGCCTGCCTTCCTGTGTTGCAGTGCTATCCTTACTTTTGTGTCAGTGACCAGAACTGGGGTTTGCCAAAATTGAAGAGGAGCAGGCCAAGGGTGCTCCAAGAGGCAAACTCATCCATATGTTTGCTGTCGTGACTGGGGAATTACATGGGAACATGCCTGAAAGTCTTAGCAATTAACTGGAGCCTTTAAAAAAAAAAATGAGGATGCTATTTGAACCATATGCATATTCCTTGAACTGGAGGAAACCAGTTTCCTGCTGATATTAAATTTTTCCCTCTCCCGAATCGCATTCAACAGGAGTGGAAAAGAGATCCCATTTGAATTGCTCTCTCTGATCCACCTTTGTGTGCTGGAAACTACTTTGTCCTATCCAGTGGTGGTATTCAGCCGGTTCGCACCGGATCGGGCGAACCGGTAGCAAGGATTTGGCGTAGGTCGCCAAACCGGTAGTAAGTTCTGGCTGGCCACGCCCCCGACCCAGTCGCCTGGTTGCCGATGGCTCGCTTGCCCCGCCCACCCGATGCTTGCTCACCCCACCCGCTTGACGCTTGCCCCTTAAGGTATTTCTTTTTTCCCCTCCAGACAAACAGCTGTCCATACGATCAGCTGTGCTGGGATTCCCCTTGCTGAGGCCCAGGAAGGCAAAAGATGGAAGGAGGGACTCAGCCCAGCCTCCATTTTTGGCCTTCCTGGGCCCCAGGGGAGACTTCTGGGAGCAAAAACACCCCCAGAGGCTCCTCTGAGGACAGGAAGGTCCCAAAACAGAGCATGGAGGGGTGCCACATGCCCCTCCCATGCTGTTTTTTTTCCCTTTCTGGTAAGGTGACCAACTTTTTTACAATGAGGAGGAGGACACAAATAAATTGAAGAAAAAAAAACAAGGCCACTTGTGCACGGTGCACCCCTGCGCATGGCATACTTTCTCAAAACAATTCTCCTGTGTGGAGTGCATGTGTCTCATAATTGCGTCTCGCCGCACTGTACCGAGCCTTGACGAATTGCCATGTCAAATACAAATATGTTGTGGCTCTGAGGTTTGAGCCTGCTTTATTAGAGGACGAAGACTCGGACAGTGGGGAAGAGGAGGTTTTGGAAATGCCTTCCTCCCCAGGACCTTCCTCTTCGGCAATGCCTTCCTCCCTGATTGTGCCTCAGGTGTCGGCAGATAACCGGGAGGGAAGACCTGAGGCTAACCAGGAAAAGGAGGAGGGCGTATCAGAGTCTCTGACTGAGAATCCAGCAGAGGAATGCTGGCTTGATGCGAGGCAGCGCCGTAGGCAAAAGTGTGAGCTGCAACGCAGAAAGAAGGGACGAATCAGAGACTGAGATGAGGGACTGCCACGCCCCACAGGGAATAAAAGTGGGTGTGTTCGCTCTGGGAACTTGTTCGGGACAATGTGTTACTTATGGAGAGAAGCTTCAGAGTATCCTGTGTGTGGTGACAGCTTGTATGATTTGTATTCCTCTTATCTGGTCGGACTTGGCAGACAGTGTGTGTGAGACTGCCAAGAACTTTATCGGCTCAAAGGAGTTAACTCCATAATTACTGGACTTGCCTGCTTGTTTGTATTTAGTTGGAAATTTGGACTTCTCACCTCGTTTGTACAGGTGAGACATAACACAAATATGTCACATCACAACGGATCTGATCGGCATCGATCAAATACGGAGATTTACAGATTAGTCTTCAAATATCAAAAAGGTGGACATGTAGGAGGGCACTTCTCAATGGAGGACAGAACTTACAAAAGGAGGACTGTCCTCCCTTAAAGGAGGATGGTTGGTCACCTTACTTCTGGGAGCAAAAATGCCTCCCCCCCCACCCCCGAGGCTCCTCTGAGGCCCAGAAGGCCCAAAAAACAGGTGTGGGGGGGAGAATAACTGCAAAAAAACAAACAAAAAAAGCCATGCCCACCCAGTTACATGGCCACACCCACCTAGCCACGCCCACCTAGCCACGCCCACAGAACCAGTAGTAAAAAAATTTGAATCCCACCCCTGGTCCTATCCACGATTGTGTGCTGGAAAGTATTTGTGCACTCTACTCCTCAGCCCGCAATATGCCACCAAGTTTGAAATTTTGGCCCGAGACGACTTAGAACTACACCACCTACAGTCTGACCTAAGCTTTGTGCACAAAATTGTCTGCTACAATGTCCTATGTGTCAGTGACTACTTCAGCTTCAACCACAACAATACACGGGTAAAGCATAGATACAAACTCAAAGTAAACAGTTCCAAACTCGATTGCAGAAAATACGACTCCGGCAACAGAGTGGTCAGTGCCTGGAACTCATTACCTGACTCTGTTGTGACATCCTCAAACCCCCAAACACATTAACCTTAAAACTGTCTACTGTGGACCTCCCTCCATTCCTAAGGGGTCTGTAAGGGAGCATGCATAAGCGCACCAGCGTGCCTACCGTCCCTGTACTACTCTTCCCATTTATCCGTATTCATGTATTATGTATATACTTATACCCATTTATATGTTATGTTTATATGTTATGTTCCTACTTGTTTTCTCATACATGCTTGACAAACTAAATAAAATAAAATAAATAAAAATAGCTACTTAGCAGGAGTTTTGTGCAGAGGTGGTATTCATCAGGTTCTGACCAGTTCTGGAGAACCGGTAGCAGAAATTTTGAATAGTTTGTGGAACCGGCAAGTGCCACCTCTGACTGGAGATTTTACAGTAACCTTCCCCTGCCATGCCCACCAAGCCATGCCCACAGAACCGGTAGTAAAACAATTTGAATCCTACTACTGGTTTTGTGTGTCACATTTGATCCAAAAACTCATTTGTCTTCCTCCTCCCAGTCAGCTTTGAAAAACAGCTTCACCCATTCCTTCAACTGCTTTTAAATCTGCCTTGATTAACAGCGCCAGGTTTTCAGGACGTGTTAGGAAGAATCCGAAATCTCAAAGAACCACCTGAATTGAACGAATTATAATCAAGAAATCCTGAACATAAATGTGAAGCCAGTCCTTCCCTCGCTGCATCGGTGCATTTTTTTCTTCCGACGCATCCCCAAAACGGAGAATTTCACTTGTGTTCCTTTCGCTTCCTGATCCTGGCATTTGAACCCTAATTTCGGAAAAGCAGC